AGAAAGTTCAAACAAAAAAGGAAAAATGTATCAACTAAACGAGTGGTAGAAAAATAATTTACAAAATTAAATGATACTATAAGAAATAAAAAAAAAAAAAGATTTACTTAATGATGAATGAGAGGAACAACAACAAACAAAAAGAGAAATAAAAAAAAAAGAAACAAAAATACAGAAAGAGAAAAAATTAAGCACACTTCAATTGTATTACATTTTCTGACGACCGGGAGGATACTCAACGACGACGAATAAAAAAAAAGAGTAAAAAAGAAACAAACCAAAAAAAAAAAAACAAAAAGAAATATCCCTCTTTTACACAGACGACACAGACGGTAAAAAAAAAAAAAGAAGAAAGAAAGAAAAAAGAAAACTCAGTGAACGAGTTGTACACGAGATGACAAAACTTTTCAAGTAATTCAGAAAAGAGGTTTTGAGAAAACAGAGAAGAAGACCAGAACGAGAAAGAGAGAAAGAGACAGAGGAGTATAGAATACGCCCACCCCCACCCCCACCCACACTTACACCCCCGGTTTGGAATATTTATCTTTATCTCTCTCTCTCTCTTACTCTCACTGTTACTCTACTTTCTCTATCTTTTCTGTCGCGAGTTTTAAGAACGGATGTAGCTCGGTTGCAATACCAGCAACCAACCAACCCAACCAACCCAACCAGCAAGACCGTCTTCTCCGCACGTGTCACGAAACTAGAAAATAAACTCTCTTCGTTGATGCGATTCGAAGAGGCAAAACCTCGAAGAGGAAAGCGCTTTAGAAACAGTGCGTCGCATACACGAAACACGGTTTATATTTGGAAGCAGTCGAGAACTGGGCAGGGTCCTCGATAAAAATTAACTGCCAACCAGTTCAACGTACTTAAAAACGATTATATTTGCTTGCTTTCTCCTTTCTTTGTTTATTTGATTTCTTTTTTATTATTATTACATAGGATTGTTGTCTTTTTGATTGACGTTTTAATCAAATTTTCCATACTACCGTTTGAATTTTCAAAATGTAAAGTATTATATATATATTTATCATATTTTTTTTAATTATGATTTAGTTTCGAGATTAAATTTCTTTTTGGATTATTATTATTTTTTTTTTTTATTTGTTTATTCGTTTAATTATTTTTCTTTGTTTTTTTTTTTTTTTTTTTTTAATGAACAGTTTTGTAGGATTTGTTATAATTATTTTTAATAATATTATAAGAATAGGGGGAAGGTTTATATTTTATTTACATTATATTTATATATTATATTTATAAAGAAAATATTAGATTTTGTTGTTAATATATTTAGTAATAATTATATATGTATAAAACTACGTAGGTAATTTAAATTCAATTTATAACTCGCGTTGCTTTAATTTATTATGATTGTTTTAATATTACAATCGAGGTAAGTAATTTATTTGATAATAGAAATTACGTTTAGATTGTTTTCATACGTTTTATTTTTTTATTATTTAAAATAAACAAAAAAATTATTAGTCTTCAATTTGACTACATGATTTATTTATAATCTGAAGGAATCATTTTGAATAACAATTTGAATTCATAACCTTATACGAATGTTTGAAAAAGAAATACAAAGTATCTAACGTAAAAACTGATAAATTTCATTTCGAATTTT